GAGCTGGGGAGGCAAGGACTGAGGTGCATCGTGCTGAGGATCCTGTCATGCTCCCCAGGCAGCTCTGATATGGATGGAAATGGGGTGGGAGCATCTGTGTCCCTGAGCTGCTCAACACATGGATGTGCTCCAGGATCTGCTCTGTACCCTTGGGCACAATCCCTGCAATATCCTCATTTTCCTCTTGCCTTAGACAGGGAATTGGGAATTTGTCTGTAAGAGCAGAGGGGGAAAAGGAGGAATTCCCAGGGTGGTGGCTGTCCTTGGAGCCCACCTGGGCTGAGGAGGGATCCCTGCAGTCTGTGCCAGTGCTCCTGCCTGTCTGGGACACCAGTGCTGTCTTTGAAATGGCTTTTCTTAGGTACACTGGTTTATTTTTATGCATCCTTCCTGCACTCCCTGTTTAGCTAAATATGGCCGAGGAAATGCCCTGCTGATAAGGCTGCATAGCCTCATTATTGTTTTTCCCCAGAAAGTAGATCAGTGTCCCAGTTCCTGTGCACACCTGAACTAGCAGCACTGGCAGTGCCACAAGCCCCACAAATCCCATTTATTTTATGGCAGCTCTTCCATGGAGTGCAGCCACTTCACATCCAGGGAACAGGCACAGGACAGGGGGAAACAGCTTCCAGCTGGGCCAGGGGAGTTCAGGCTGGATATTGGGGAAATTCCTTCCCCAAAAAGTCTGTCCAGCCCTGGCCCAGCTGCCCAGGGCAGTGCTGGAGTCCCCATTGGTGAAGGGATTTAAAATCCCTGTGGATGTGGCATTTGGGGACATGGTCGGGGTGGCCTTGGCAGTGCTGGGGAATGGCTGGGCTGGATGGACTCAGGGGACTTTTCCAGCCACTCTGTGCTCATGATGCAGCTTGCTGGGAAATGTAAATATTGCTTTAACTTCTGATGCTAAATGACATTTTCAGAAGATGATGATTAAATGTTCATCACTGCACATCGAGGCTCAGTGACCTAAAGCCATCAGTTCACTTGTGAGTTGAAAACAAAGGAGGATGTGCCTGAAAAATTGGTTTTGTCTGAGCCCCATTTGTTCCTTGGAGACTGCTCAGTGCAGGGATGAAACTTCTGGAAGTGCCTTCCCTGGTTGGTGCTTCCTGCAGGTGATGCATCCAGTTGTGTGCACATCTGGGTGATGGTTTGTCTTAAAATAGCCAGAAACTCTGAAAGAAACCTTTTTATAAGCCTTTTTCATTTAAATATAAAATGGTTTTTTTTTGACTGACCATAATTCATTCAAGTGTGACCCTGCACGGGGGGTGATGAGCTCCAAACTTTTCACCTCTGGATTTCCAAGCTGTGACTCAGGGCCTTTATCTGAACCACCAAGAACTGCAGTTGCTGCCTGAAGTGTGCTCTGCCTGCAAGCCTGACCTTTCATTGTCCAGAGAATGAAAAAGAAGAGCTTGCACTGAATTATTTTCCATAATAGACTTGCCTGGAAGGACAGAAACACCACTGTCAGTGGGACCCCATTGTTCCCCAGGAATGTGAGGCTGGAGCCTGTAGGTATGTGCTGGCCCTGCAGTGCTGACACAGAATTTCCTGGAGTTCAAGGAGTAGGAGCCTTTGTTTTTTGGGAACAAGAGGAGCTGTGTTCTGCCACCCCATGGAGGGCAGCAGGCCTGGGCTGCTGCTCTGTGGCCACTTGGGTCACCCTCCTGACCCAGCACAACAAGTGTCCCTTGTGTCCCTTGTGTCCCTTGTGTCCCTGTGGCTGCAGCTCTGTGGCAGCAGCTCCTGGTGCTCCTAAGGAGAGGCTGGAGCTGGGCTGGGAGAGCTGGGAGTGCTCACCTGGATATGGGAGATCCAGGGGCAGGAATGCTCACCTGGACAGGGGAAATGCAGGGGCAGGAATGCTCACCTGGATATGGGAGATCCAGGGGCAGGAATGCTCACCTGGACATGGGAGATCCAGGGGCAGGAATGCTCACCTGGACATGGGAAATGCAGGGGCAGGAATGCTCACCTGGATAAGGGAGATCCAGGGGCAGGAATGCTCACCTGGACAGGGGAAATGCAGGGGCAGGAATGCTCACCTGGATATGGGAGATCCAGGGGCAGGAATGTTCACCTGGACAAGGGAAATGCAGGGGCAGGAATGCTCACCTGGACATGGGAGATCCAGGGGCAGGAATGTTCACCTGGACAAGGGAAGTGCAGGGGCAGGAATGCTCACCTGGACAGGGGAAATGCAGGGGCAGGAATGCTCACCTGGACATGGGAAATGCAGGGGCAGGAATGCTCACCTGGACAGGGGAAATGCAGGGGCAGGAATGCTCACCTGGATAAGGGAGATCCAGGGGCAGGAATGCTCACCTGGATAAGGGAGATCCAGGGGCAGGAATGCTCACCTGGACAGGGGAGATCCAGGGGCAGGAATGCTCACCTGGACATGGGAGATCCAGGGGCAGGAATGTTCACCTGGACAGGGGAAATGCAGGGGCAGGAATGCTCACCTGGACAGGGGAAATGCAGGGGCAGGAATGCTCACCTGGACATGGGAGATCCAGGGGCAGGAATGCTCACCTGGACAAGGGAAATGCAGGGGCAGGAATGCTCACCTGGACATGGGAAATGCAGGGGCAGGAATGCTCACCTGGATAAGGGAGATCCAGGGGCAGGAATGCTCACCTGGACAGGGGAAATGCAGGGGCAGGAATGCTCACCTGGACATGGGAGATCCAGGGGCAGGAATGCTCACCTGGACAGGGGAAATGCAGGGCCAGGAATGCTCACCTGGATAAAGGAAATGCAGGGGCAGGAATGCTCACCTGGACATGGGAAATGCAGGGGCAGGAATGCTCACCTGGATAAGGGAGATCCAGGGGCAGGAATGCTCACCTGGACAGGGGAAATGCAGGAGCAGCTCAGAGCCCCTCCAGGATCTCCAGGAGAGCTGGAGAGGGACTGGGGACAAAACCTTTCTGTGCATTCCAGCCTTTCTGTTCCAAGGATGGCCTCAAAAAGCTGCAAAGTGAAAAAGTGAAGAATTGGTGATGGGTGTGTGTTGTGCCAACCAGAAGGCTGCAGATGAGTCAGTTCAGGTGCATTTTTTCAGCTTGGTGCCAGGAATAAATTGAACACAGAGATGCAAATCAGGGAGGGCTAACTGGTGATTATTTCTCCTCTGTTTCCAGTTCATAGCTGTGGATATAATGCCTACGTGTGCATTTTGCTGTATTTTTTTCATGTCAACATTATTAAAACGTCACTTTCCCTCCCAAATCCCAGGGCTGGAGGGGGTTTGCTGGGATTAGCAAGGTTTGCTGAGGACAGGGATGTGCTGCAGGACCCTCTGGGAGGGATCAGGAGCAGCACTGAAGTATATACATCAGAGATTATGTAAAATCCTAATCTCCATAGGGGAGCTGGGTGGAGTCAAGCCCAGCACTAAATTCCCTTGCGTCATTTGTGCTGCTCAGGGGTGTCATTAACTCCAGAACTGGGGTGACATTAACTCCAGATCTGGGGTGGCATTAACTCCAGATATGTGGTGACATTAGCTCCAGATCTGGGGTGACATTAACTCCAGATCTGGGGTGACATTAACTTTGGATCTGAGGTGGCATTAACTCCAGATATGGGGTGACATTAACTCCAGATCTGGGGTGGCATTAACTCCAGATCTGGGATGACATTAGCTCCAGATCTGGGATGACATTAGCTCCAGATCTGGGGTGGCATTAACTCCAGATCTGGGGTGGCATTAACTCCAGATCTGGGGTGGCATTAACTCCAGATATGGGGTGACATTAACTCCAGAACTGGGGTGGCATTAACTCCAGATATGGGGCAGGCCAGTGTCACACCACAGCCACCCTGGCCAGGTGCTGGGCATTATTTTTTACCTTTTTTATTCAAGGTTCTGATAAAAGACCCCATGAAATGTCACATCTATGAGCTAAACCTGCTTTAGATGATCCCAGTTTATTTCTGATCCTTTGTGGGGGGGTTTAGGAACATCTGGGAATTCCTGAGCACTGCACAAAGGTTTGGTGCACAGGGGATGTGCAGTGGCCAGAGATGTCTGATGGAATTCTCTCTGTCTCCCTGGCTGGGTTCCAGGGCAGTGTCACACCATGGCTACCCTGGCCAGGTGCTGGGTGGTGTTCTTTACCTTTTTTATTTAAGGTTCTGATAAAAGACCCCATAAATGTCATATCTATGAGATAAACCTGCTTTAGATGATCCCAGTTTATTTCTGATCCATTGTGGGAGTTTAGGAACATCTGGGAGTTACTGAACGCTGCAGAAACATTTAGTGTAAAGGCACAGGGGACATGGTGGGGTTTAGGAACATCTGGGAGTTCCTGAGCACTGCACAAAGGGTTGGTGTAATGGCACAGGGGTCATAGGGGGTTTAGGAACATCTGGGAGTTCCTGAGCCCTGCACAAAGGGTTGGTGTGCAGGCACAGGGGACATGGTGGGGTTTAGGAACATCTGGGAGTTCCTGAGCCCTGCACAAAGGGTTGGTGTGCAGGCACAGGGGACATGGTGGGGTTTAGGAACATCTGGGAGTTCCTGAGCCCTGCACAAAGGGTTGGTGTGCAGGCACAGGGGACATGGTGGGGTTTAGGAACATCTGGGAGTTCCTGAGCCCTGCACAAAGGGTTGGTGTGCAGGCACAGGGGACATGGTGGGGTTTAGGAACATCTGGGAGTTCCTGAGCCCTGCACAAAGGGTTGGTGTGCAGGCACAGGGGTCATGGTGGGGTTTAGGAACATCTGGGAGTTCCTGAGCCCTGCACAAAGGGTTGGTGTGCAGGCACAGGGGACATGGTGGGGTTTAGGAACATCTGGGAGTTCCTGAGCCCTGCACAAAGGGTTGGTGTGCAGGCACAGGGGTCATGGTGGGGTTTAGGAACATCTGGGAGTTCCTGAGCCCTGCACAAAGGCTTGGTGCACAGGCACAGGGGGTGTGCAGTGCCCAGACATGTCTGATGGCGTGCTCTCTCTCTCTCCCTCTCTCTCCCTGGCTGTTGCAGTGCTCAGGCATGGCTGACCTGGACCACTCCCTGAGCCTGGCCGACGCTCTGACGGAGCCGCCCCCGGACGTGGAGGAGGAGGTGAAGAGAGATTTCATCGCCACGCTGGAGGCTGAGAAGTTTGATGACGTGGTGGGGGAGACTGTGGACAAGACAGACTACGTGCCCCTGCTGGATGATGAGGAGCAGGCCAGGCCTGGCTCCCAGGAGCCCAAAAGCAAAGGCCACGTGGACGGCATTGCCGTGGAACGTAAGTGCCCCAAGTGTCCCCAAAGCTGCTGCTGCCACAGCTGGGACATCTGTGCTCGCTGTGACACTGCTGGGACAGGAGCTGCTCTGCTGCTGGCCTCAGTCTGACAGGCTTATGAGGTCAAGCCCTGTTTGCTGCTTTTTGCTCTGTGAAACAGCCTCTCCCTGCTGGCCACCCCCTTTAGGGAGAGGCTCTGCTTTACACTCATGTTTGGGGTTGGTGCTTTTGGGGCTCTCAGAGGAAGCACTGGCCAAATTCCACAAGCAGTGTCCCAAAACAGCAGAACTGTGCAAGGTGCCCCCACTCTGGGGCATGGCAGAGCCAAGCAGGAAAGGTGGATGATGAAGTGAAAGATGGGAATGTTCATCATCTCCCAAATGTTTGACAGCAGAATCCCATGGTTCTGGCCCAAGGTTTATTTACTTGGATTTCTTTGGCTGTGCTGGTTGTGTGCATGGCACAAAACATGCTGCTGCCTCTGCTGCTGCTGCTGCTGCTGCTGAGTGCTTTCCAGCCCAGCTGGTATTTAGAGTCATGGAGTCATTCAGGTTGGAAAAGATCTTGGAGATCATCAAACCCAGCACTGCCAGGGCCACCCCTGACCATGTCCCCAAGTGCCACATCCACATGGATGTCACATGCCTCCAGCAATGGGGACTCCACCATGCCCTGGGCAGCTGGGGCAGGGCTGGACAGACTTTTCCAGGAGGAATATTCTCAATATCCACCTGAACCTGTCCTTGAGGCCATTCCCTCTGCTCCTGTCCCTGTTCCCTGGAGCAGAGCCCGAACCCCTCCTGGCAGGAGCTGTGCAGAGCCACAAGGGCCCCCCTGAGCCCCCTTTGCTCCAGGCTGAGCCCCTGCCCATCTCCCTCAGGGATTCTGCAGCCCCTTCCCAACTCCATTCCTTTCCCTGGACACCCTCCAGCCCCTCAGGGTCTGTCCTGGACCTGGGGACCCCAGCACTGCCCCAGGAGTTTGAGGTGGAACATCACCAATTCATTTGTGTTAAGAGCTTTATCAAAAACTCTACAGGAAAAGATTTTTAAACAGATGCTTCCCTGTGTGAGATTTGGGGTCATGAAATGGGTTTCTTCCCCAGTGAACAATTTAAATTATTGCTCCCTTTCCTTGTGTGCTGTTGCCTCCCTGCCCAAGTGGGAATTGTCACTGGGACCAGCAGTGCCTTGATGATTTTATTTGTTTTGTGGCCTTGATCTGTGCTCAAGAAGAGGAAAACCTTTGGTAACCTGATGACTTCTTCAGAAGAAGTTTTCTTTTTTTGCTTTAATCCTTCTGCTCATCAGTGCTGAGGAAGGTGGGAGGTGATTCCTCAGAATGAACAGAACCTCCAGGACCACAGCATGGGGAGTTCTGCTCTGTTCAAGGCATTCATTTGCTTTGATTAGAAGTGCACTGGGTGCCTTGTAATACAGAAAATGTAACCTTGAATTTTCCATGCTGACACAGTTATTAAATGGCACCAAAGGAGCAGGAGGGATGGGCAGAGGGATTATTATAAAACTTGGAATTTGGGCAGTTCAGATGTGTATTATTTATTTCATTTCTATTTTAGCACTGCAGAAGCAGGGAAACATGAGGACTTGTTAACACCTTGTTTATGATTTGAGGGTATTTTAAAGCAATCCTTTGTTGTAGAAGCTGCAGATCCTGAACCATCTCAGCACAGGGTTTCTCAGTGCTAAAATCATGACACAATATTGGTGTAAAATACAAGGCCCTTAAGTGTGTCCTGCCATCTGTGGATCCCTGGACATTGCTATTGATACCTTGGGGTTTAGCTTTCTAGTTTTTAGGGCATCACTGTCCCAACTCATTATTCCACATAACTCCAGGCCATTATTCCAATGACTCGTTACTGGGGGTAACGAGCCCTTTTGGCTTTGCTCAGTAATTAAAACTCTGTGAGAGCTCAGGCACAAATACTGGGGGCAGAAGCAGAATTTCAGGAGCAATTCCTTCATGGAAAGGGTTATTCAATACTGGCAGGGGCTGCCCAGGGAGGTTGGCAGTGCCCATCCCTGGAGGTGTCCCAGGGTCCCTGGAGGTGGCACTGAGTGCTCAGGGCTGGGACAGGGTGGGCACTGGGCACAGCTGGGACTCAGGGGGCTGGGAGGGCTTTGCCAGCCTCAGGGATTCAGGGATTCTGGGCTCTCCTGGCTTTTCCAGCCCCTCTCTCCCCTCTCTGCAGCCCATCCTGGGCTGCTTGAGCAGAGCTCGTTTCCTCCTCCATGGCAAGGGGGGGATGCAGTTTGTTACCCTTGCTTTGGAGATTGGTTTTTCCCTTTTTTGGGAGAGCTGGAGAGCAGTCAGGAGCATGATCTAACCCTTTGGCAAGATGCAGACGAGACCCTGGTGAGGAGATGGAGGAGTTGTTGAGTGGAGCTGTTCAGCTTTCCCAGCCTGGACCGGCAGGGGAGGACTGAAGCCTAAAGCAGGGTCAGTAACCACAGGCCAGGCTCAGGATTTGGTCCTGGAATGTCTTCATTTCTCTGATCTGTTTTTCCTGAAGTGATGAGGGTACCTGGTGCAGCCCTGGCTGCTGAGAATTTCAGATTTTCTGTGTTGAAAGACCCTCAGGAGAAAACTGCATTGACCTGGGGTTGTGGAGAAAGCTTCCAAAATGGAATGACAGAACTGGGATTGTGGGTGTGGAGCTGGAATAGAAGTGTGTGATATCCAGGGAAAAACAGATACCTGTTTCTTCCATGAAGTTTATTTAAGATTTGTAACGGTTTAAAAAGGCAGTAAAGGGAATGAGTTTCATTTCTTGAGGCTCCAGAATAAATAAATGAGCTCTGGGTGAGGTTTACAGGGCCCTGAGGAGGTCTTGGTGTCGCAGTTCCATGTTTGAGTGTGACCCCAAGTTTCTGGGGCATAGCAGACAGAGTTCCATGTCCCTGGCTCCAGACAGCCTGGCTTTCCTGAGGGAGAGGAGCAGCCTGCAGAGCTCAGGCTCTGCAGCCTCCCCTCGTTCATTTATTTATGTTAAAAGGCACAAATGTGTTCTGACATCACGGCCTGTGCTCCTCAGATTGTCTTTTCCCAGTCAGAAGGGGTTTAATCCTCCGTCCTGTCAGGCTTTAGCTGCTCCAGCTCTGCTCCAGGGTTTTCTTTCACTTTTTTCCCTAAACCCAGGAGCCAGATTGGGAGAGTTTAATGTTGAGCTGGGCCCCAGCCTGGGCTGGGTGAGTACAGAGAGGGGAGAAGAGCAGGGACCTGTGATGAGCACTAAAAATCTGTCCTAGAACAAAGCTTTAATAATGTTAACTCCTAAAGTACCGGGAGAAATGGGTTTGCTCTTCCTCACACCTGGCTGGACGTGGTAATTTGGCAAATTCTGGGATAATCCCTTTTGACCTTGTGGGCCTTACATAACGCAAGGGCTGTGTGCTGCCTGCTTTCCTTGGCAATTCCAAGGCTCTCAGGGTGCTCTGGAGCTCCCAGGAAATCCTGGAGGCTGCAGCAGCACTTTCATTCAGGTGCTGATGTGGTGGGATGATGGGATTTCAGATGGGAGCGCATTCCAGGGAAAGGAAAACACTGGGGAGGGTTCATGATTTGCAGCAGAGCTCCTGGGGAGTTTCAGATGAGGTGAGGAGCAGGATTGTCTGTGCAGTGATGGTTCCTGGTGGGGAAGTGTGTTTCTGGTCAGGAATTGTGTTTCTGGTGTGGAATTGTGTTTCTGGTGTGGAATTGTGTTTCTGGTGTGGAATTGTGTTCCTGGTGTGGAATTGTGTTCCTGGTGAGGAATTGTGTTCCTGGTGGGGAATTGTGTTCCTGGTGGGGAATTGTGTTTCTGGTGTGGAATTGTGTTCCTGGTGTGGAATTGTGTTCCTGGTGGGGAATTGTGTTTCTGGTGTGGAATTGTGTTCCTGGTGGGGAATTGTGTTTCTGGTGTGGAATTGTGTTTCTGGTGTGGAATTGTGTTCCTGGTGGGGAATTGTGTTCCTGGTGGGGAATTGTGTTCCTGGTGTGGAATTGTGTTCCTGGTGGGGAATTGTGTTTCTGGTGTGGAATTGTGTTCCTGGTGGGGAATTGTGTTTCTGGTGTGGAATTGTGTTCCTGGTGTGGAATTGTGTTTCTGGTGTGGAATTGTGTTTCTGGTCAGGAATTGTGTTCCTGGTGAGGAATTGTGTCCCAGGTGGGGAATTGTGTTCCTGGTGAGGAATTGTGTTCCTGGTCAGGAATTGTGTTCCTGGTGGGGAATTGTGTTCCTGGTCAGGAATTGTGTTCCTGGTGTGGAATTGTGTTCCTGGTGAGGAATTGTGTTTCTGGTCAGGAATTGTGTTCCTGGTCAGGAATTGTGTTCCTGATGAGGAATTGTGTTCCTGGTGTGGAATTGTGTTCCTGGTGGGGAATTGTGTTCCTGATGAGGAATTGTGTCCCTGATGAGGAATTGTGTTTCGGGTCAGGAATTGTGTTCCTGGTCAGGAATTGTGTTCCTGATGAGGAATTGTGTCTCTGGTGTGGAATTGTGTCTCTGGTGTGGAATTGTGTTCCTGGTCAGGAATTGTGTCCCTGGTGAGGAATTGTGTCCCTGGTCAGGAATTGTGTTCCTGGTGGGGAATTGTGTTTCTGGTGTGGAATTGTGTCCCTGGTCAGGAATTGTGTTCCTGGTGGGGTATTGTGTCCCTGGTGTGGAATTGTGTCCCTGGTCAGGAATTGTGTTCCTGGTCAGGAATTGTGTTCCTGGTCAGGAATTGTGTTTCTGGTGTGGAATTGTGTTCCTGGTGGGGAATTGTGTTTCTGGTGTGGAATTGTGTTTCTGGTCAGGAATTGTGTTCCTGGTGAGGAATTGTGTCCCAGGTGGGGAATTGTGTCCCAGGTGGGGAATTGTGTTCCTGGTGAGGAATTGTGTTCCTGGTCAGGAATTGTGTTTCTGGTCGGGAATTGTGTCCCTGGTGAGGAATTGTGTTCCTGGTGAGGAATTGTGTTCCTGGTGGGGAATTGTGTTTCTGGTGTGGAATTGTGTTCCT